ATTCCGATATACCGCCTTCGAAGTTTTGAAGGAGTATTCGATTACGTTATTTGCATTTGCGCCGCTGGGTTTCGTAACTAAAGAGCAGCGCAAAAAATGGGAGAAAAACGCAATAAATTTTTAATGGCTGGATATAATGACCAAAGCAAGCCTTACAGGGTGTTTGCTTCGCGCGCCAGAAGAGTTTTTATTCGCAAAGATGTTCAATTTTAATGATTGTACGAAGAAACAGAAAAAGAAATACGAAAATTACAGAGAGGCGTACGAAACGAGGAGTGCAACTAAGCAAAAGAAGAGTGCTGGTGAGCAACAAATCGATGCCGAAGTTCACACAGTGCAGTATGAACCTTCCAATTTAGAAGAGGCACCAGAAAGCTAAGACAGTGTGAAATGGGCAGCAGCAGTTAATTACGAATTAAATGCTCTGCAGAAAAATGAAACTTGGACACTCGTCGAACGGCCTGACGATATGCATGTGTTGACTAATCGATGGGTTTTTAAATGGGAATATGACTCAAAGGAAAAAATAGAAAAATATAAAGCTAGGCTAGTTGTTAGAGGCTGTTCACAAATTCGCGGAGTAGATTACACGGAAATGTTTTCGCCGGTTGTCCGATATGAGTCGGTAAGAACAGTTCTATCTATTTCAGCGGCGAAAAACATGCAAGTTATTCAATTTGACGTTAATACAGCTTTTCTACATGCCCAGATAAAATAAAACATCTATATGGAGCAGCCATATGGTTATCAACAAAATGACAAAGTATGTAAATTGCAAAAGAGCTTGTATGGTTTAAAGCAAGCTCCCAGACAGTGGAATAAACGCATAGTAGATTTTTTGCTGAACTTGATGCGGGTGTATTTACGTATAAATTCGACAACAACACGATGTACCTTGTATTGTATGTAGACGATGGACTTACATGTGCTAAACATCGCCAGCTAATTGAAAGCCTCTTAAAAAAACTGTACTCTGAGTTTCAGATTACTCACAAAATGGCTGAGTATTTTGTTGGAATGCAAATGAAGTTCGACACAAAAGAGCAAAAACTTTTAATTTTTCAAAATATGTATTGTTCAAAACTTTTGGAGCGTTTTAATCATTTTAATTGTTTTGCAGTTTCAACACCAGCTGAAGGTGGCAAGCAGTTCTCTAAAGCAAATACGATTGCATCGAAGTCAAGATTTCCGTATCGAGAGGCCATTGGTTCATTGATGTATTTGATGGTGTGCATAAGACCAGACATAGCATACGTTGTTGGTTTGTTAAGTCGTTATGTTGAAAATCTATCTGAAGTTCACTGGCAGGGAGTGAAACGTATTTTTAAATACCTCAAAGGGGCTTTAAATCACGGCATATTTTTTTCAATAAACTCCTCAAGCTCACGAAGATAAAGCGTGACTGCAACGCCTACCACTGAAGCAGAGTTTATTGCTATATGTGCAGCAACGAAAGCAGTTGTGTGGCTCCGAAAATTGGCGAAAGCGATTAACTGGGAGCAAATAGGTGCTTCGCCTTCAAAGTGCGACAATCAAAACGCAATTGAGTTAGTGAAAACTCCTGAATCATCTAAACGTACTAAGCATGTAGATATACAATATTTTTATACCCGAACGCCCTTGTGCACAAGGGTATATTAACTTTGTTCACATAACGGTTGTCTGTAACAGCCAAAAATAATCGAAATAGATATGGACAAATGTATACATAAATGATCAGAATGAAAAGAGAAGTCGATTAAGCCATGTTTGTCTGTCCGTCCGTATTGAAAATGGGCGAAATCGGACTGTAACCACGCCCATATAACGGTATTTTCGAAAAATGCAAAAACTGCGATATTTCAGTAGATATTGGATGCAAATTGTTAAAAATTAGTATGTGGAGTAGAATTGTGGTAAAAA